GCCTTTCTTACCCAGAGTAGCGTCTCTAAAAGGCAGGCAGTGCCGCCTTATGTGGCATCAGAAAGCCAGCCCCTGTACCCCCAAATACCCAGCCTTTTCTGACAGAATACAGTAGGACCCACAACAAATGTACACCGGCTTATAAAGAACTACAGCCTTTGTCATTTTCCTTTTAGGACCTTGTGTGTTCTAGCTAAAACAGTTTAAGGGTCCCCAGAGGGTTTGTTCACATAATTTATGAAATCTGCTTTTGTTGTTATGTGTGTAGTATTGTTTTAAAGTCATGCCAGTTGTTGGGGTTTCTTAGGGTGGTTAAATTAAAACAGGCTGGCAGCCCATCCAGGGCGTCCCCATGTCTTGTGCCCTATGCTGCCTGGGACAGGCTCCAGAGCCTCCTCCCTCCCCAACTGTGCACTGGATAAGCAGCTAGAAGCTGGATGGACACATTAAAATAAAGGCCACATTTATGTGACTAGACATAAATGAAAGACAGATATGGCTGTGGTTTTGTTATTCGCTGGCTTTCAGTCAAAATGCCGTTTTGATTAAGACGCCCTCTGCTTTTTGGCTGTATGAATATTGCCTGCGAAGGTTGTAAATCGCAGTTAAAAGTGAGGGATTGGCAGCTGAAGCTGAGCCGCAGCAAGACTCTACTCACCGCCCTCAAGCGTATAATGCGAAATGAGTTACGTCAAAGTGAAGTCCAGCGATAGTCAAGCAAGCTTCATGAACAGGGCTTCCCCTGCTGGTGGCCACGCCTTGAGGGCCTGCAGAGCTGCCTACTGACCTTCTTACAGAGATGGGTAGTCCAAGTCCAGGAAGTAAAAATCCAGAGCAAGATTTTGTACCAACCAACCAGTTGAGTACTCTGTGATCATGACTCCTTATACTCAACTGGTTGGGTGAAGTAAAATCTTGCTCTGGGTTTTTACTTTCTGGACCTGGACGACCCATCTCTGCTTTTTATACGCAAGAAAAGCCTGCTCTTCAGTTGGTTTGTTTGTTGGTTTATGAGTTATAGGCTTAATGACAATATCACAGAGCAAGGGGACCGACTGACTCTTGTTTCTGATACCTTCAGCAGAAACCTAAAGAGCTCCACCTTTCGTGGAACTGATGATTAAGGAGGAACTTTTTATAAACTGATTGGCCGACACGAATTTTCCACTTCTCTTTCTGTAAACCCCGGTGGCAAATCCATGCAGGTAAGGTGTGTCACCACGGTGTCTCCATGCCCAAGTCCCTCTGGGTGGAGGATTTGCTGATATGTTGCATAGAAAATGACCCCCCCCCCCCCCCTCGCCACTCCAGTATTTCTCAATGCGGCCCACGGGACGCGGCGATCAGCCTCCGGGGGGGGGGGTGTAAATCCCGGGCCGGCATTCCATAGCTGCTTCTCCCCCCTCCTGACCTGACCGCCTTCCTGACCTGACAGGAAGTGGGCCTCGCTCTCCGTGGCACCCGCCTTTGATGTGGCTGCTTCCTCATACCATGCTTGTGCGATGGCCTTGGTTTTTCTGTCCCTTCTCCCCTAAAATTCTCTTGCATTGACTCACAGCTGCCTGTTTACCGGAAGATCGCATGAGGTCCTCTTTGACATCAAAAAAGTGGGATCTGAGTGGCTGGAATTTGAAATCAAAGCATTTTCCCGGTATTTACGCATGTGCAGTTTGGACTTCCATTAGCATGTAATTATCCCCGTTGCTTTATCCCTCACATGCCAGTTGAGGTTCAGCCACTTTCGCAGAGATCGCTGTGCGTTATTTTTGGGGAGACTGTTGTGGCTCATACTGTTTGCCCCGTGATCCTGACACGTTCTCGGTCTCACTGACACCTGTGATAAGGTGCAAGCTGTCCGTTTCCCGGAAAACCAGGTAATCCGTCACAGCGTTGGTCTAGACGTTTTGCGTGCATCTGATACCGAGACAAGAGACAAACAAACGCCGTCAAAGGCCTTGTTTTCACACCCGAATGATCGAGGTAAGGGGCGAAAATGACGTAAAGGTGTGTTTTCTAATTTCCCCTTCGTCGTTCCTGTAATACGATGAACAAGCACAGCCTGTATGGCGTCAGCTGTGGGCTCCCCTCTTGTCTCAGACATGGCAGTCTGCTCCTGGATCTGTTTCTTACTACCGAGCACAGACATGGACTGGTTCAAGCAGCCGATCTGTTCTGTACCTCCCCAACCTCCAACCAGCACAGACCAAATAAGAACTTGGAGCTCTGGTCTGACTCTGGTTCAGACACCCTCCCTCCCAGACATAGCGCACACCGTTCCGTCGTGGCTCTTGTTCCATTTGTGTGCCAACCTCCTTTCCGCTGTCTGGGCTCAGGCCCATTCCCTGAATGAGAGACCAGCAGAGGCAGCGGCCCCAGCACTGAGAGGAACGGGGCGGCCCAATGAATAGAAGCATTTATTTTGTCATCGCTAGCGGGAGACGTCCACGTTTAATCCCAGGAGCTCCGAAATCTCAGGGCGCTTAAGAACAAACTGTAAAATAAACATTTTTCGCTCGTACACAGTATTCAATTATATTTCTTATTGCAGTGCAATTAAAGTTCACACTCATCTAAAAACCACTCTTGTGTAATCGTTTGGTACGTCACTACATAAGAACATAAGAAATTTACAATGGAGAGGAGGCCATAAGGTGTTCGGTTTAGCGTCGGAGAAATCACGAAGACCTAGAACTTTCTTTGGATGTGTTTAGGTCTCTCTTCGTTTGTTTTTACAGTATGTTTTGGTGAAATATCGCTGGCATCCACCCATTTTGACGCAGCCAGTGGCTTCGATTCCTCTTTCCAGTCCCATTCACGTCGGCTGCATAGGTTCGAAAGGAAGGCTTTGCCAACTCTGTCACCTTTGCTCTTAATTTGGTGCATCCACGCGTTGCTGTGCACGCTTCTGTTCTGCACACGTGTACCTTTTTGTCCAACGTCACAGTGTAGTTATGGTGTTTTTTTCCAACGTGTAATGAAAGGATTTGTCCACACCCCCACCCCAGTCTCAGGACACATTTCCCTGCTTCTCTGAGGTCTTTCATTTCCATTCCTCCATCCTTCCTGCCTGTCTCATCCTCCCACTTGTTTCCCGGCCCCCTTGCTCCCGCATTGCCCCCCCACCCTCCTGTCCCACCCGGTGACGCTGCAGGCTGCTGAACAGATGTAGGGAAGTGAGTCACTTTCAGTGGGTATTACTCAAGTATCCCTGACATCCATTAACGCGACTCCTGTTTGTGCAGGAATATCTTGAAGTGCCCCCCCCCCCCCCCCCCCCCCCAAGCCATATTTTACTCATCCCCAGTTATGTGGCATTATACTGGTGTACTGTAGGGAATCTTTTTCATCCTAGTGTTGTTATGGTCTGGATGAGAGAATCTTCTCAATCAATAGGATGCCGGCTTTTTACTTGAATACTTTTGTGGAGTATAATCAGACAAAAGATGGAGACAAAAGGAGGCAGAGGCAGTAATTGTATTGTTTTTAAGCACATGAGGGCTGCCCATCAATCCATCCATCCATCCATCCATCCATTTTCTGATCTCTTATTTAGTCTCAGTGAGCTTGGGGTCTCTCCCAGACCATATAGGTAGAATCCCCAACCAGGGTGACAGTCAGATTGTAAGTATGTCAAATGTGTATTCACAGTACTAAAATTCAGAGTTTTTTTTATTCTGAGTAAAATTCAGGGGGAAAAAAGTGCTGAATTTCTCTCATGGTAATGCAACAGTGCGAGATTCATTCGGTCCTCGCAGCTGATCTGCACAGTGTCGCTTGAAAGGCTGCAGGCTTATTGCAAAATTCGCAGAGGAAGTCCTGCCTTGGGCGCAGAGACACTCATGCATGCATACACGCAGTCTTACCTGCATGCAGTCTCTCCAGTGCACCAATGCACATACACTGAACCTTACAAAGAGTCCATTCAGTAAGACCTGTGTTTCACTCGTTCCGTCCTCAGAAATCCCAGTCACAGCACAGAATTTGCGTAAGAAAATGTCAGTTTACTGGTTTTCTTGTAAGGCTGTTGCCTTTTGTGGCTGTATTGAAACAGCAAACATCTTTAATTCTGTCAATAGCTTAATTCCCGAACATGTGAAGTGGAAAAAACAGTGTTTGTGTACCAGGACTCTTTGTGTTTTGTTTCTCGTATTCCAAGGCTGTGGAAACACTGACGTTTGTTCTCGAGGCTCTCTGTGCTTTTAACTACCAGAACGCGTAAGTGCAACAACATCCTCCTTTTCTGTTTCCTACTGTATGGAGGAGTTTCACACAAAAAAAAACCCAGAGCAACCAGCAGAGTCGCTCTCTCACTTTTGTTCGTGTTTTGGAAGGAAGTGACATCGATGCTTTGCTGTTCCGTCGCTATGCTGAGAAAAGCTCAAAGCTTTTTTTTTTTTCTTTTTTCTTTTTTTTTACACACAGGCTGTTTTTGGAACACTCCATAATTAGCAAAAAAATAAAACAATACTATTTCCATTGAAGTTTTCTTTTCTGAGTAGCACAGCTTATGCATGTTGATAAGCTATTTTTTTTCCTGTGTTTGTGAAGGTTATCTCTGTCTCTCTGTGCTGTTGTAGTGGTTTGGGCTGGAATGATGAAAGTTTGGGGGGGATAGTGAAACTGGGTTGGACTGGTTGCCGAAAGACAGCACGCATGCAGGCTGCAGATTTAGGATGGGTGGGGCCAGAATCCCTCCTGCATGTTTGTGAGAAATATGCTCTTTTTGGTGGGATCTACCTTTATTAAAGCTTCCTGTGGCATAGCTCATGAGAAGACCCTGTTGCTCTTTTAATAAGGATGTAGGTATGAACTGACCTTTGACCTTTTTCACGTGTGACCATGTGTCCCCCGTACAAGCTTGCTACTTCTAGGCTTTATTCTTCCCGTGTCCCCAGACCAAAAAAGCCCTGAAACACGTTGATTTTGCACTTAAACATTGCGTATCTATGATGAATCTTGCTATGGATTCAATTTGAGTGTTTGTGTCGTCTCTGTTTCAGAACTCAATCCGGCACAACCTGTCGCTGCACAGCCGCTTTGTGCGCGTCCAGAACGAGGGGACGGGCAAGAGCTCCTGGTGGATGCTCAACCCGGAGGGTGGCAAGAGCGGCAAGTCCCCCCGGCGCCGCGCGGCCTCCATGGACAACAACAGCAAGTTTGCCAAGAGCCGTGGGCGGGCTGCCAAGAAGAAGGTGGGTGGAGCCTCTCAGAGCCCCGCCCCCAAACCTAGGATGCAGTAACACTTTGTTACGGAATGGTGCTTGAGCAATGGCTGTGCACTTCCTGGCCATACCCTTAGTATACCTAACCCAACCCATCCATCCATCCATCCATCTAACAAGGGAGGCCACTTCTTAAACCAACTTGTCCTAAATAGCTGCCTTGCTAATGGCTGGAGTTAAACATTAAATAAACCCTGAACTACAGCCACCTCTCCCGGTTCTCCACCTTGCTTTGAGTCGCTGTGTTCATGCTCGGCCTTTCCCTTGTTGTATTGTGCTTATTTGGCACATTCTTAGCTCTGTGTTCAGTCAGCAAACCTTGTGGCATTTTAACCCTTGGCCATTTATCCCAAGTGCTGTAATACATTGCAGATGGAAGGTCCTATCCTGATCGTAGTCTATAGTTAGTTCCTGCTGTTATTGCAGCTTAGCGGGTAGCTGAATGTCTGCATTGATGGTGTAATTGCATGTGTGTCCAGGTGTCGCTCCAGGGGGCGCCAGAGGGTGGTGCCGAGAGCCCCGGGTCCCAGTACTCCAAGTGGCCGGGCAGCCCAAACTCGCACAGCAATGACGACTTTGATGCATGGGGGCCCATCCGCAAGCGCAGTGGCTCCAACGCCAGCACGCTGAGCGGCCGCCTCTCGCCCTTCATGGCCGAGCAGGACGACCTGACTGACGGCGATGTACACATGGTCTACCCCGGGGGACCCAGCTCCAAGATGGCGACCACGTTGCCCAGTCTTTCGGAGGTGACAGGCTCACTCGGCTCTGAGACCGTCATGGAGAGCCTCCTGGGAAACCTTAATCTGCTGTCCCCCAAGAACTCGCAGGTGGGGGCAGCCGGGCAGGGTGGAGGATCCGCCCAGTCGTCACCCTCCTCGATGATGCAGACCAGCCCTGGGTACCCTGCCTACAGCTCCCCCAGCATGGTGGCCCCACCCACTCAGGACTACCGCAAGTGCCTGTATGGGCAACCTGGAGTTGGCGGCCTGTCGCCCCTCCCCATGCAGCCCCTCCCCAAGGGCAAGTCTCTGAACCAATATGGCTGCCAGACCGGGCTCCTCAAAGAGCTGCTCACGTCAGACTCCGACCCCCATGGCAACCTCATCCCCTCAGTGGAGACGGCGGCAGGCCAGCCAGGTGGGGCCAGAGGCCTGTTAACCTCCTATAGCGCCAGCCAGGCAGGCCACGGGAGCAAGATGATTGGCCAAGGAAGCTTGCAGCCCCTCCCCCACACTCATCCCCTTCACGGGCCAGCTCCTCCTACACAGGTGATCCTAAATGGGCGTACCCTGATGCCCCTTGGCGGCATGAGGAGCCCCGGCCACCTGGCACCCGAGAAGCCCTCCATGCCAACGCCCTTCCCTTGCTCCGCCCACCTTGGCGGGGGGGTCCCACCTGCCTACTGCACCTTCAACGGCAACGGTTACATGCGGCCCGGCTTGCCACAGCCACACGAGAAGCTGCCCAGCGACCTGGTGGACGTGTCCTTCGAGAGCTTCGATTGTGACATGGAGTCCATCCTGCATGACGCGCTCATGGACGGTGACTCGCTGGACTTCAACTTTGACCCCACGGTGGCCCCACAGGGCTTTGCCCATGGTGTGAAGACCACCACACACAGCTGGGTGTCCGGGTAAAGTCCCCCACATGTGCGGAAGTCCCTGATGGTGCCCAGATATGCTCTCCAGTGAAGAGGAACACAGATCCACCCCAAATTTGCAGACCTTACCTGGTATACGGTATATATGCAGTTATCTAGTATTATCTAACATCACAGGGAAAATGACCTCATTGGGTAAGGTTCATGTGACCATGCTTGTCCCATTTTTTTTTTTTCTTTTTTTGGTTGGTTGCTTTAGACACTTTCCCTCCATCGTCATTCAAAGAAACAAGTAACAGTTCATTCTTGGGGGGGCGGAGCTCAACCGCATTGGCCCACAGCCTCATTGGCCCACAGCCTCATTGGCCCACGGGCATTACGTAAGGTGGAGCATAAAGCATGATTTTATTTATTTATCTTTGTCGGCTATGAAACATTCTCTTGACCTTCACCCCCCACCCCTCTTATCTGGGTTGTGAACATATAACAGCCCCCCCCAGCTTTATTGAGACATGAGTTATTTCTGCTGTGAATTGTTTCATGTAAAAATATCACCGTCATCCCAGAACTGGAAGTTCTGCTCAATCCAAAGAAGAACTCATAATTCTCCCTCATTTTTGAGACTCAAATCCTGCCCAGAAAATGTTTACCAACCTGTTCAGATTTGTTTTTTTTAATTTTTACTGTAAATAATCAAGTGCCAATCTCTCAACAGCAGGTTTCAATGTTGGTGGTCTTGTTTTAAATTCATTGTTACGCGTTCTTTCAAAAAAGTCCTGGTGTTTGCCGTGACTTACCATCTTGTGGCAGCATTCAGACACATTGGCACTCGCGGTCACTCACGGACACTCGTGGTCACTCACGGACACGCACTTACCAACGCACGCCGTTACTCACACACACACATGGTCACTCAATGGACACACACCGGCCGGTTTGTCTCGCTGTATGTTGGCACCCAGGTCGACTTTGCTCCCTGTGAATCGCCGTCTTTCACAGTTAAGCAGGCAGTCACAGATCACTGCTGAGACCTCTGCCTGCTGCTTGTTTGTAATTCAGGTCCTGCTTGTCAGCTTTGATCAGATCAAACCACAAGGATGTGCACTCCCCCCAATTATGAGACTTGTTCCTCTGCTCTCCCCACTGCACACTTTTTCTTAGGTGAAACAGGTCTACGTTTTCTTCTGAAATACTTTTTAACTTTGTCCTGTACCTGTTGCTGGGAAGGAAAACTAACTTGAGAGAAAAGAGAGCACGTACATCAATGCTGCTGCTGAAAAATGAATGCTTTACTGGTTCCAGTTGGGGTGGATCAGGCAGTGATTGACAGTGATTGGCAGTGATTGACAGTGATTGGCAGTGGTGGGTGTCAAAGCCTCACTTTGGCTTTAGATCTGATGGCGGCAGGGCCTAAATTATGTGAATGAATGAGTCCATAGGGATTGTGGGATATTGTTACTTCATGATATTACCTCTCCTCTCATATTAGATGTACCATACTGAGTGTTTTTAATCTCAGACGGCAAGTTTACAGAATAGTAACGCAAATCAGTTTTTGCCAAAGATTTTAGCTGTACATCTGGAGAAAAATAACTGAATGATGTTTTATTTACGTTGAGCTTGTATCACTTCCTGCTGGAAGGCGCTTTTTGGTGAGGCTGTTAATTAGGCACTTTTTATTTACACTTTTTTTTGTAAATACATGAAATGTATAATAATAATTGAGACATATTTGAAATCCAGACGATGGTATATTTGATGAAGATTCTCTCTGTCTCTCTCTCTCTCTCCCTCTCCCTCCCTCCCTCCCTCTCTCTCTCTCTCTCTCTCTCTCTCTCTCTGCCTCCTGGCACTTACCACACATGGCGTAAACGTGCCTTTCCTGACACCCTTCTCCGGCAGTACAGTGACACGCTACCATCCGCCCCCCCCAGCAGAAATCCACACGTCGTATACGTGATATACCAGCAGTGGCAGGGCGTGCAGCATGCTGTAGCTTCCTGCACCTTCCCTGAGCCCGCTGAAGAGCGGCAGCTGATCTGGATGCACAGCAGGAATCCTACCACTGTGCTTGACAAGGCCGCAAACTCCTATGTTTCAGGGTAATGGAAGGCTATTACGTGCTGATTTTTATGATATTGCACTAAATATAAATTTGGTATGTTTAATGGAGAATCTAAAATAGTTCAGAAATAGTCCTCTACTTCAGAATGGTTTTTCCTCAGTGAGCGTAAGTGCAGGCATAATTAAAATTTTTCCTTCAAAGACGATTGGCTCTGTAGTGTCGCTGTAAATTAACCAATCACAATACAGGTTGATGAAGTGGCTGTTTAAAGCGTCCATTTGTTTCTTAATCAGCACTTGCAGTATTGCACAGGGCGCCGTAACCCTACGGCTGCCCACAGCTGCGTTTTGGGGGAGGATCTCGTTGTTGTACCTTTGAGCCCATTTACGCGCAGCTCTGGTGAAATGTCCAGCTACGACCGTGTAGGCTGCTTTGGATGAAAACTTCAGCTACGAAATAATTACCCAAAGCAACAACATTCCCGCTGTCTGTTTCTCAGTACAACATGGAGGGGCAAGATGGGAGAATCAAGGCCGAAGCCAAGGATGGACATTCTGTTAGACTGTCAGGCGCCCCCTGGTTCATGACACATCTAGGATGGAATGTAGTCTACTCTTTCGTTTTTCCTTTTTTTGTGGCACTCTTAAATCGCGGCTTGTTCCTGATTACAGCTTACACACATGAAATCGCAGAGATTCCGCGTCCGCATACTTGAGTTAAAGCGTAAGCTGAATTTTTTCGGGTTTTGGGTCTTGACTTAAGGGAAGCGGCTTCTAGAGGCAGGTTGTGCTTAACTGCTCCAGCCGTGCGGCCGTCATCTGCCAGAGAATGAAACGCTCCCTGGAGTTGTTGTACCCCCTAATATTTTAAGTCCTGACGCGTGATCGTAGCACAAGCACGCTGTGGTCGGACATTTCAGAGCACCGAGTGCAATCTCTGGCAAAATAAACCTTTATGAACAACGAGTGGTTTATAACAGCTATACAACAGTGAAAATATTCTTTATTATTACCAAGTGTAAATGATCGCTTTGTGAATTTTGCGCAGTATATAACCTATGCATTCTTGTAATTTTTTTTTTTTGTACTTGTACCAACGATGAGAGAAATTGTATTTTAGAGTTGTGGAGATTTTTATGTCCTTGTATTTGTTAAAGATAGTTCTACAAAAAAAATGAGGCGCATTTAGATGCTGATGCTTGGCTTTTTTGGTAAACTGACAATATTATTCTTGTATTTAGCTTTCATTTGTAGGAAAAAATGTAAAACATAAAAAAATTCTCAAATATGGAGGAAAATCTATATTAAATTAATTTTTGTTTAACTTGGCAGATCTTTGGACCAATTTATATCAATTTGAATAATAAAAAAAACAATGTTTTTAATCCGCATTTTATAAGTGGCACTTTTCACAAAAAGTGAGGAAAGTGACCTTATTTTAAAACACCGTTATAAACGGCATTGTAACATTTCTTACCTTGTGTACAGTACGTTTTATTCAAATGGCAGAAGTAAATGTGCAATTATGTATTAAAAAAAACTGAATATATAAGTATATACCTATTTAAGATAGGCCTTATCTATATATATATATATATAGTTGCTTCTGAGTGGCTAACAAACTGGAAGAGTTTAATTGGAACGGTTTGTTAATTAGAAACGTTTATTAGTTAATTGCTGCTTTTTCTGCGGTGATCCATCCTGATATTTATGCAGACGACATGTCTCATCCACCAGCACGAAGACAAGCCTTCTGAGTTTTTACTTCAATGTCACAGACGTGATTGTATTACCCTAAAACACAAAGTCAGAAAATGTCTTATTTTTTTTCCTTTGCAGCTGCTGAATGAAGCCATCACCTTGTACATAAATTATGATATTGGGAAAAACGCTGCCTTTGTTGTCCTGTGTCTTGTTTTCACCTGAATGTGTGGGGGAGGTAGGTGTGTGGCTCAGTGAATTGGGGCTCTTTGCCTGTGATCGGAAGGTTGTCGGTTCAAATCCCAGTGTCAGCGGAGTGATTTCACAAGGCCCTTAACCCCCAAGTGCTCCGGGGACTGCCTGACCATGCCTTCTTAAAAAAAGAAAAAATTACAAATTGTCTGCTAAGTCAAAATACAATATTATACATGTGCAAGGAATTGCAGCTGTTAAACTACACTCTTCAGAATCAACACAAAATGGCACAAGTGCTCAGGAGCCTTTTACTGGTTTCCTAGTGTAATGGAAGCCAAAGACGGGGCTTGCAAACAAAAAGGATCCTCTGTGGACTGCTAGCCTGCAAGCTCCTCTTCCTTAATAATCCTTGCCTCCATTTTTTAAGGAATAATTGAGCCCAGCTCTCCGGTGCTCCTCTCTGTAATCAGCTAACTTTAATGGGATCGCTCTGTAAGCGCAGCACCTCCAGTGCTCTGTGTGTTCTTCCCGCTGGTTTGCTTGCCCTGTGGGTAAATCCTATTTGCCGGTGTGTGCAGAGCGCGGTGGCACCGGGGCTCGCGGTTGCCACGGAAGCCGTCCTCGGGCTAAGTAACGCGGCCCTGGCACCTCCAGGGGCCCTGCGGGTCCTGCCGCCTGGGCTCTGCCTGCACAATTATCAGCACTGGAGGGAGAAAAGTGGGGGCCTTTTGTTCCCGAAACCTGCCCTGTTGGGGGGTGTATTTCTGGACCTGCTCCTCAGAGGTCAATCAGAGCTCTATGGAGAGCGGCCTATGCGTGACGCCCCCCTGTGGCCTGCCTCCGCTCTGCGCCCCCGGGGGTGTCCTCAGCCTGGGTCGCCATCTTCCTCCTTGCCCCCCACTAAGGGCGATTCCAAATTAAAATTTAATATAAATTTTCCTCCTCTTCTACACGATTATCAACCCTGCAGAGCCAGGTGCACACTAAGACCTGCTGTGGCTATTTCAGCCCCGGAGAGACGGCGCCCCCCCCCCCCCCCCCCCCAGGTTTTTCCCTTTGCTCCCCCCCCCCCCCTCCGCCTGCTACAGCTGGGCTGAAGTTACACAATTAAACTCAGATTCTGAAGTGGCCCTGTGGGTTTAAGGATTACAAGAGAAATTGTTGTAGGTGGTGAAATACGAAAAAAGCAAGAAGAAAAAGAGACTGGGAAAAACGCAAGCGGTTCGGCTGAGGACACCGGGATTGGTGTGGAAAAACAGGTGGCTGATCACACCTAGGCCAAGAGCGTGTGTGTGTGTGTGCGAGCGGGTTTACCTATCCTTATGGGGACACAATGTCCCCATAACGTGATAAATATCTGTTTTTTTTTCCCTTATGGGGACCGGTTTCCTGGTCCCCATAAGGGAAATCTATATTTTATAAAAATCGGTGACTGCTATGAAAAAACTAAAAATGTAAGAACTCTTGTATTTTGTTTGGTTACTTATGGTTATGGTTAGGGCAGGGTAGGGGTTAAGGTTGTCATAGTTAGCGTTAGCATTTTTCCCATTGAAATGAATGAGCGGTCCCCATAAGGATATGTTTACCCTACATGTGTGTGAGTGTGTGCGTGAGTGTGTGTGTGTGTGTGTGTGTGCGCGTGAATGTGAGTGTGCTTGCTCCTGCTCACCTCTGCAGAGTGGTGTGGGGGTCCTCCTAAACAGTGATGACAGAGTATAGACATGGAAGAGGGCGTTCCCCCCCCCAAGATGTCCAGCGGCAGAGGAATGTGTCTTGCTGGTCCCGGATAGCACCCCGAGTGCAATCTCTCCGTTCCTCTGGCCTGCAGGGTGACCTCTCATCACGCCAGGGCATCGGGGGGGGGCTCACCCTGGGCTTCACTGGATTGGGATCACTCAGTTCACACAGGGTTTGTCCCAAAGTCACTCTTACTGACCAGGACATTTGGAGAATGTTTTCCTGTCTCTCTCCGTTCTGACAGGAATGACTCAGAAAATAAAAACCAAATGTACAGCTAGCTGAGCCAGGCCAGTCCTTTTCAGAGAATATACACCCAACGGGTATATACTCAATGAACATTTATAAAACAAGAATATATAACCAACACATATACACCCGACAAATATAAAGTTGATGAATATATATAGAAAAAAATGTACAAGAATAGAATATACACCAAATGGATATGTATAATATATAAGAAAAAAAGAATATACTCACAATGGGTAAATACTCAATGAATATGTACCCATTGAATCTATACTCAATACATAGCCAATGTTTACACACGCATAAATATATACCGCAGACCCAACAAGCCATGCCTCACGAGTAGCTGTATGACATGTGTGTGGCACAATTTGTCCTCATTAATGTGTAATTCTCCACCTGTCTTGTTTTCTTGCCAATAATTTTGAACCCCCCTACCCATTAGACTGTTGACATGCTATACCGAGGCCATTATTCTTTGCTCTTTCAGGCTTGGGGTGCCCCACCCTGCCGTTTATAGCTGTCTCAGGTTAATGAGGTCATTTTCCTGGCCGGTTTCCACCCCTCTGTGTGCCTATGATGAATGTGGACTGGGGTGACCCATGACCCGTGAGCCTCCCGCTCCTGATTGCAGGCGTTGCCGTGTGTGAGGAGCGTAAAATCCGCGCGGCTTCCAGGCCGCGGGCTGTGACTGTGCCGGCGTTCAGCCTGGCAGCCTTTCATCTGTGACCCCATCACTCTTAACATTAACGTGGCCAAGCGCTTCAGCCGCTGCCGGAGTTGATTCGGCCTCCCAGAGGGACCCAAACCTGAAAATTGCCACGGCTGTGCCTCTTTTAAAACACTCCCGCAGATGGGTTTGCTTCACCACCTGGCATTAGGGAAGCTGCTGACAGCCTTTCAGTGTTCAGGGTGTATTTTTTTGTCTTAAAACATAGGAGTCCATATAAATTTATGGACTTTTCATCTGACTCTAATTATAGTTGAAAGACTGGAAATTTAAACCTGAATCCCTTGTAAATACACAATAATGGGAAATATTTGACAAAGGCCTTTGAAAAATGTGATACTATTGGGTTTTGTTTGCTTGTCTGTGCTCTGTGATGGACCCTGTGCATTCTGGGATAGGCGCCAAGTTCGCTATTGCCCTGTACTGCATAAAAGGTTATGGAGAAAGGACAGCTGTAGTGAATGATACATGATGATGAATTGCAAATAGTGGCCTTTGGTAATACAACATCACAAAAATGCACACTAGTACATATATGTGTGAAAATGTTCCTATTGTATCTCTTTAACTGATCTGCAGTACAGGTTTACCTATGCCACGCAGCATAGGGCATAGGGCAGGGGCACCCTGGATGAGATAGCAGTCTGTGCCAGGCAGCATAGGGCACAGGGCAGGGGCGCCCTGGATGAGATAGCAGTCTGTGCCACGCAGCATAGGGCACAGGGCAGGGGCGCCCTGGATCAGATAGCAGTCTGTGCCAGGCAGCATAGGGCACAGGGCAGGGGCGCCCTGGATGAGATAGCAGTCTGTGCCAGGCAGCATAGGGCACAGGGCAGGGGCGCCCTGGATGAGATACCAGTCTGTGCCAGGCAGCATAGGGCACAGGGCAGGGGTGCCCTGGATGAGATACCAGTCTGTGCCAGGCAGCATAGGGCACAGGGCAGGGGTGCCCTGGATGAGAGCCCAGTCTGTGCCAGGCAGCACAGGGCACAAAGCAGTTTAACTAAATGTGTATTTGGACCCTGTGACCTGCACGATATGGGGAAAACAACCCAGCCACATACATAGTATGTGTAGGATTTGAACACGCGACCCTGGTGGAGTTACTCAGTGATCCATCCTTGTGTCATACAGCTGTGCTTATATAAAGGTGGGTGGGGCAAGTGGAGCAGAAAAAGCCTGAACTCTGTAAACTTTGGCCAGCTTGGGTTACCTAGGATACTGCACTATACCTGATGCTAAGCTATATCTTTAAACAATAGGTGTCAGCGGCAGCAGCTTCATATAAGGGGAGGGCGTGAAAGTCACTAGAGCAGAAGAACATGATTCCCCCCCCCCCCCCCCATCACGGGGCCAAGGGCCCAGGGTGCAGAGCAAATGAGCCGCAGCAGGACCAGACATGATCTGATGCACTGGAGATGCAGGTTGGTGGCTGGGGGAGGGGTTACCTTGGGGATCACATGACTGAAGGGTAAGGAGAGGTGGAGGCTGACACCTGTGTTCTGGGTGTTTGTGCATGAGTGGCGGCGGGTGGGGAGTGCAGGGACAGACGTGGTTAATTATTGCTGCGCTGGGTGGCTGCCCCGTTCGCCCATGCCTAAAACCGCCACTGCTTCCCCTTATGGAGGCGCTGTCACACTAAACCGCACATCTGCTGGAGTCACACTGACTCACTGCGGCCAGCTGGCTCCAGCGGGCTCCTTCCACAAAGCGTGGGGGTGCGTGGAACAGTGGCCCATCACATCATATTTACCCACAGGAAATAAAAATTTTGATTGAAGGACTTTTGAGGAAGGGGGCGTCGCCCTGATAAGCATTTAAACTCCCTTGACTTTAAACTGCAGCCAGAAGTGTGATTGGCTCCCAGTCTCCACTGGTTCAGGTGCGTCACCATAGGCCCTGCTGCCAGCCAATTACAGCTCTCCCTTTCCGGGACCGGAGCGGGGGCTGCAGCTGGTAAGTGAGATGGAAGTTTCATGCAATTTGCAGATTCAGCTGGAAAGTCTGAATGATCCCAGTTGTCAGTAACTGGACAGGGGGCAGTGTGGTGCCTCAGTGGGCAGTGATGCACCCCCACACCCCGTATGTGGGACGCTGGAGTCCCTCCCCTGCCCTGTGTGTGTGCAGTTTCCATGTTCTCCCCATGTCATGCAAGTATCCTCCTGCAATCCAGAGACAGTTATTTAGGCTAATTGGCTTATCTAAATTGTCCGGAGCATACGTTGTGTGTTCTCTATGATACACTGGCATCCCAAGCAGGGTATAGCCCCGCCTGGTGC